GTTGTGTTGGATACGGCGGAAGATACAGTTACGAGGTTGATGAGAGGTCTCTTCGGGAACCTGATGACGATTGCGGGGTCGGGTGTGAGGCCTTTGAGTATGGTCTGGCAACTCTTTGGGTTGAATCCTCAGTACGATGTTCCCGTCACGGCTGCTGATTGGGTTTGGTACGAGAACGTCGTCGAGTTGTATCCATACACTGGCTGGCCTTTGAACACGTTCAACGACAATCTGCTCAAGCTTCTTGACAAGATCATCGTGCGGGTCATCACCAAGAACGAGAACGTCGCCGAGATCAAGCAGAGCAAGGCCTATGATATGGTACAGTACTGCAAGCTGCGGAACATCCAGCTTGAGCACTGCCGTACCATCATCACCGTCTTTGAACGAATGCTCACCACGGATGGTATCGATATTGCAGCCGTTGCGGGACGACTTCAGGAGAATGTTCCAAGTGAGCTTGAGAAGCAGACCAAGGGCTACACGAGAATGATACGATATATCGGCCATCTTGCCAGAGGCGGGGCAAGGCGTCCTACAGATGATCTTGTCTACGGCAATGTGTACACCAAGCGCTCAGCTGCTTTCAAGTATCTCAAGATCGCAGTCGCGCTGGCATGTCAAGATAAGAACTGGGATGTCGCAAAGGAAAACTGCCAGGCTGTGATTGACTTGCATACGGAGATTTCTGCCAAGTGGCAGATTCAGCCAGACCAGCTCAAGGTGCAGAACATCCACTACTACCGCGAACTCCTCGATGCAGATGTCTCCGAGGATGCCGAGCAAGACGTCAAGAACCGCACGAGAAAGATCGTCGGGCGAATCATGGACGATGCAGAGAAGAGGCGTATCCCATGGCAAGTCGGCAGCGACGCAGCCAAGAACAACATTGAACCTCTTGACGAGCAGTTCCTGGAGCAAGTCCTCACCGGAGCACGATCTGAAGCTGATAACAAGGCTGTAGTCGAAGTTGTCAAGGAGGAAATGGTTGAAGAAGAGAGCTTTTCAACGTACAAGAGTTCTTTGGCGCCTGCGTTTGTTTCGACGATGGAGAAGGCCCTCTCAGCAGAGGATGTCTGCGCGATAACCAAGATTCCTGAGTCTGCGATGAGGGTGTTCATCAAGGCGCTTAACCCTGAGTTTGAGTGGGATGATTTGGCGCAGCAGTTCAAGATTGTGATATTGAGTTTGTTGCGGGAACGGTCGGGGCGGATAGAGAGCAGACCTGCTGCCAGGATGTTGAGACTACGATGAGCTTCACGGGCAATGGATACGTAATGATATGATTGAGATTTAGTCTACTGTTATTAGTAAATCAGGCTTTCTTATGTATAGCTCGCTCTAATGAAATGATATCTAAAGTTTCTCTGCTCGGGAGTTTCTGATTGTCTTGTCAACTATGCGCATTGCTCGAAGACATTCCTCGTCTCTGTATCGTGGTGCAATGATTTGGATTGCAGTTGGTGCACCGTCGGTGGCCTCGGGAATGTCTGATATCTGTTAGCTACGGTGGAAGAGTCTTTTATGTGGTGAAACTTACAGTCAGGGTCGAATGGGGCCTTGGCCTTGACGTGTTCTGAGTCTTCAAACTTGGAAGAGTTGCCAAAGGGAATAATACCAGCAGGGAACTGTCATCATGTTAGCATGTCCCATTTTCTGACATGGAATGATCAAAACTTACATCCAAGACATTCCACATGAGGGTATAAATAGGAACACCATAAGTATCATGAGGAATAGCCGTAGTAGCAGCTCCAGGAGCAAGGATAACATCAAGCTTGTTATCACGATACGTCTCCTGCCAAGCCTTCAGGTACTCAAAGCGCACCTCATTCAGCCGAGACAACTTTGTAGGTGTATCCAGATCCGGAGGAACAGGGAAGTTGCCGTTGGTAAAGGGGTGAACAGCGATAGCCACAGAGTTAACGAGTGGCTCACCGATCTCTCGGGAAACAGTATCGAGATCAGGGCCCATGATACTGAATAACTGGAATCCGATTCTGGCGCCAAGACCAGCATTTCGCTTAGGATCTTGAGAGAGATAAACAAGCTTATGGCCTGCGTTCTCAAGCGCAGAAGCAGCCTTTGCTAAAGCACGTCGAACAGGCGGGTGCAGAGGATACTCGGGATCTTCAGCCATCACACCAATAGTAAGCTTAGCATCTGCCTCACCAATTTCTCTCCAGGGAATATCTGCAACAGTGGGGTCATAGTTCCAGGGCCGTTGAGCGAGCGTGATCTTCATGAATAGCTCAAGATCTTCGATGGAGTTGGCCATGGGGCCACCGACTGGTGCAATACCAGGGAGATGATCCTTGGGGAAAGGATATTCTGATTGGCCTCCGAAGGGAACGCGTTCGGAGGTAGGCTTGAATCCGTAGATACCGCAGCATAGAGAGGGAATGCGGATTGAGCCAGCGATATCACTGCCAACGCCGAGAGGAGATCCTCTGAAGGCTACGAGAGCGCCTTCACCACCGGTTGAACCACCTGCTGTGAGGCTGGTGTTGTGAGGGTTGAGAGTTCTTCCAAAGATGTTGTTTTCCGAATCTGCCGTCTAAAGGGTGTTAGAAAGTCCATTTGCTGTAGTATGTGGAATAGCTTACCATCATTGTCTGGGGCAGGTTTGTCTTGCAGTAAAAAACAGCTCCAGCGTCAAGCAACAAGTCCACGAGTGCAGAATTGTGATCGGGAATTGGCTGACGAAGAAACTCAACATATCCGACGGTGGCATGGTGGCCTTTAACGCGATATGAGTCCTGTTTTTGTTAGTAGAGATTTTGATGTTGGAGATATTGATGCATACCTTGAGACTAATAGGCAATCCGTGGAGTGGACCAGCCAACTTTCCCGTTGTCTTTAATTGCTGGTCAAGTTCCTTGGCTCTTTGAATGCCCTCCTGGAACATAATCTCAGTCAAACACGAAGTCTACTTCTGTTAGTACAAGTTCCCACGGTTGTCTCAGTGTAATATACCAGTTGTTGAGCGAGACTTGCACGCTTGGAAAACGCCACAGTAACTTCCTCTGAAGAGAGCTCTTGAGAATGGATCTTGCTCAACAACTCAGCAGCAGTGTACCTCTCGGTGATAGCAATCTCCTTCTCCGTCAAAAGTCCAGACTTTTGAACGGCCTTTGTCTCAATAAGCTTGCTCCCATTACCATCTCCAGTATTCTTCAGTCCCTGGAGTTGTTTCTCTGAGAGAAGCCATTCCGTCGGTACAGCATCACGCTGCTTCTCGCGGTGCTGAGCAGCAATGGTCTTCCAGTTGGTAGTGGTAGCAGGCATGATGAATGATGTGAGGATGATGAGATTTGTTGGAGACGCTTTCTGGTCTCTGCATTGTTTTTAATGAGGAAAGAGAGCAGGCGACGGAGTTTCGGAGGTTCTAGATCATCTAATCTCCCCCACAACACGGATAGGTTACCCCATACTGCAAGCCGAGATAGCGTCGCCGCGAGTTTTGGAGGGGTTGTTTTAGCTCCGCGGCGCATGTAGTGCCCTATTTCGGCAGTTGGAGCCGCCGACGTGTCGGCAAATTCATGCGGCATGGAAACGGGGTCTGATCTGCAGTGCCAAACTGTAGTATCATCGGTATCATTTCCGTGGCAGTCATCGTATCAATCCGGGTATCAAACAAGACATGATTTGTAAAGATAAAAGATGCCCTGGTCTTCCATATCAAGTGTACTACGTAGGTTTCAGCAAGATCAGATCTTAGATCTAACACTCCCTGTCCACTCCCCCGGTCCATCACCTTCGGAATGGCTTCTCACGTTCCATCCCCCGGAAACGACTTCTCTCCTTCCGAAGCCGATATTCCATCAATGCGCATGCCGCATCTCGAGTTCATCTACCGCATCGTTGCCGAGATGGACAAAGAGGGGGTTACCGAGATTGCAGGTATCGACGGCACCTCCAAGAGCAGAGTTGTCCTCCCCATCCAAGGAGGGCAAGTAAATGGTCCTCAGATCAAGGGAATCATCGTTGACAAGAGCGGTGCCGACTGGGCCGAAGTCATTAACCCCAATAAGGTGAATACTATGCAAAAAAAGAGGAAAGCTTATCGTCGATTAGCTAGCTGACAGGGGTATAGTCTCTTGTTCGGTTAAACGCCATGTACACGCTGCGGACTCGTGATAACGTACATATCCTTGTTAAAGCACAGGGCATCTATCGTACTGGGCCCGGAGTGGAGGAGCAGGTGGGAGAGCGGGATACCGTTACGCAAGATGAGATGGAGTATTTTACGCATATTAAGTTCGAGGCCCCTGGTGATAGTTCCTATGGCTGGTTGAACAGTGTTGTTGCTATTGGGGTTATGATCATGTCGGAGGGGAGACCAGTCATTGACTGTTATCGGTTGACAAACTTTCCTGGAAAGAGAGCTGCAAACTTGTAGACAGACCTCGGGGATCAAGAAAACACCGGACCTAGATATAAGGCATTAAGATAAACTCGGCAAAATATATCGCAAGCTTAGTATAGGTACCCTAAATTAAGTAGAGATATCCTAAATTTATACCAATTTACCTAAGTCTTTTTATCATTTAGGATCAAGGTCTTGAGCTTTCTGTCCTCCCCTACACAGATAGAGAATTGATATAATAACATAAAGTTCCACATCGCATCATTGAGCAGCAGCTTCGTGTGGGGTTGAATGATCCGGGAATAACTCCTTTTCACACATAATGTGACTCAACGACGTAATGATCTCCCTGGGCTGGGTGAGGCTGAGTCTAAAACGCCGCCGGGTTTCTAAAGGTGTGACATGCCCTAGCGAAGTACGATGCAGCCAATAGGACGGTGGCTGTTTGAGTACGGAAAATTGCTATTCAAGTCCGTTCACTCTAAATGAAACTCGACAGAAACCTCAGTTTTGAGATGAAAAGAGTATGCGTAAATTGATAATGCCTAAACTAACTGCACCACGACCCAATGATTCCCAATATCTTCCATCCAATTCCATCCGAGTGTCATTCATCCACCGTAAAGTCCTGTCAAATACGCGACCGCTTCTCGACGAGCTTCCAATAGCGAGGTGCCAACGCAGTGCGAATCTTCTTGCCGTAGATAATCATGGGCACAAAGAGGGAGCCAATGGCGAATGCAATGCAGCCACTGATGATGAACATATTGGTGAGACCCATAGTCGTCATCCAAGGAACAATGGCAAATGTGACGCCAACAGAGACGGCGTTTCGCAGGAAAGCAATGCCGATGAAGGCTTCGGCGACGAGCTCACGATAAGTATCGATGATGAGAGTGAAGGTGATATCACCGTTGGCACCAAGTCCAAAAGCAAAGAATGCTCCACCGAGGGAGGGATAGATCCAGTGCATGCCCTAAAGAATGTTAGTGAAAGGCACTAAGATCAAGGAGGTCGACTTACGCGAGCAGCTGTTGCGCCAAACATGATGATGCCACCAGCCATGAAAAAGGTAGGAATCACGAGGGGATACAGTCGCATCTCAGGCTCGTAGACACCTCCATTGCGTCGTGCAAGTCGAACAACAGTCCAGTCGGCGAGAGGTCCTCCATAGATACTTCCAAAGATGTTGCCAACAAACGGACCGAGGGCCATGCATCCGATGCCAGCGGTAGTGAAGTTGTAAGGAGGCGCTGAGAAGACAATAGAGATGATTTGCATAAAGATGACAAGCCAGCAGACTCCAGAAGCAAACTGCAGAGCAGTGAACATGACGTGGGGAAGGGTGATGACATGGAAGGGCATCATGAACAAGCGAGGAAGAGATTCGCTCGTCGTGGTGGTCAAACGCATGCACTGACGGTACGAGTTCATGGGGATGGTAGGATCAGTATGAGTAGCGACGGTGACAAGATCACTGCCGACCTTGTTCTTGGAGTCGATGTCTTTCTCGGTAGGGTTGTGGTCTGAACCAGCGTCATCGTTATCTGCCTCGCCGACCGAGAGGGGAATGTACTTTGTCTCCTCAAAGGCAAAGATGAAGACGACGAAGAGAATGGTGAGGCAGATGGACAAGGTGTAGTAAGACCAGCGCCAGCCTTGGTTAGCAGCTTGTGTGCCAGAGGCCATGGGGGTCAGAAAAGAACCGACCATGACGGCGGTGAAGTAGACTGCGTTGGCAGATCCACGATGATGAACAAAGAAGAGGTCCGAGATCTACACCATTAGCAAACGGTCTCAATATCAACAGCACAGGACTTACAGTCATCTGAACAGCGGTTTCGTTGATAGCACCGCCGAGACCGGTGATGACCATGGTGATGATCAGCTCAGGATAGCTCTGCATTCTCGAAGTCCACCACGAGACACCGGCAAGAACAGCAGTAGAGATGATGTACGCAGAGCGACGTCCATACTTGATAGAGAGGGGGATAAAGAACAGACAACCCATGGCTAGACCAGCTAGCTGTGCGGATTGGGCATTGGTCAACTGCTGGATGCTAACGCCCATGTCAACAGTCATCTGCTGCCAAAAGACAGTCTGGATCGAGACATTGGTGAAGGCAGCGACCGTGACGGCGATCGACAGCCCAAAGTTGAAGAGCTTTCGCCATGTAGGCCAATTCTACATCATGTTAGTCAAAGCATCAATATTACATATAGAGAGAAAATGCTTACGAGAGGCTCATTAGGATCCTTGGAGGGCGTTGGCTGAAGAACGAAGCGTGACGCGTCGGTAGCTGACTCTGCTGCGAATCAATCAGTCAAATTGTGATTGACATGAGAGGTTATGGTGTTTTACCCAAGATCAGGCGGGCCTCTCCCGGGATGGGGACGCGATCGGTGGAGGTCATGATGGGACTTGGGCTCGCTTGAAGAATTGAATATGGGGAAGAAAGTGGAGGTTTTTGGCTGCTGAACTGAATCGTACGATGAGAGGCAAGCACAGGGACTATATATCCCCTTCCAAATCTCAGCCGAGTCTGTGATATCAAAAAGGTAGTGCAGGTGGTGTACAGCCACCAACATGCAAAGCACTGAGTCTTGTTGTGCACGAGACAAACTTGATACGGTGGCCGTCGGCCGTTGTCTCTGCAAACTCAATGTCGGCAGTGCGTGCCAATACTGAGGACGGGGTATAGGGGGTCAAGGGTCTGTGTGCGATTAGCTCAATCTCCCGCTATCTCTACCTCTGACGACCCCTGTCCAGGTGGTATCTGCAAATCACGAGCAGAGGCCATCTCCCCGCATTCTCAACTGTTCCCACATACGAGAAAAGTAAACTTGTGTGGCGATAACAAATGTTCCCGCCCGTGGGACGATCTAAACCATTTTAGGGAGATACACGCGCGGCGCCTCTTTCACCCCTTTTCGTCTATAAACTTCGATCCCCAGCCCCGCAGAGTCAGAATATCGCCTCCTTTCGTACACCCAACAATCCCTGAGCCCCTCCCCCAACCCCAAGCCAAGATCTAAGAAGATAGGCAGAGAGAGACACACTATGGCCCGATCTCGTGGAGGCTGCCTGAACTGTAAAGCCCGCAAGCGAAAATGCGACCAGGCTCGCCCGGAGTGCCACGCTTGCTCCCAAAGGGGCATGAGGTGCCAGGGCTACTCGACTCCCCTCCGCTGGGTCAATGGCGTCGCTTCTAGAGGCAGATTTGCCGGCGCTTCTGTCCCCGACGCGTCATTGGTCGCGACTCAAGGGCCTGAGAGCAGTCAGGACCTCAATTCGATGGATTCCGAGACTTCCTCTGCTCCTAGACACGATACGTCGAGTCCTGCGTCGGGCTCAATCTCGTCGTCTGCCTTTTCACCCCAGACCATTGGCGTGCCGTCAGCAGACGCGCAAGACCCGAGATTCCAGAGATGTATGCTGTCATCACTCACTCACTCATTCATTCACTCTACTCCTCATTTTGATACCGAGGTAGTTCATTGTAGTCGGTGCTAATTGTTTCGCTAGTCATGAACAATGGCCTCAATCGGCTGTACTCCACGGAAGCCAGCTCATGGATCAAGCCCTTCTTTGAGCAGATGGCTTATCAGAGCCCAGCGCTGGTCATGATCGCCGGTGCGATACAGCTCTACATGGACGATGGCAATCGGGGCATGTCTGTCAAGTCGATGGAATACACCGACCTGGCGCTGCAGACGTTCCGACAAGAGCTTTCCGCCCGGTATGAGCGAATGCACCTCGCGACAATATGCGCTGGCTTGCTAGTCTGTTCGCTCTGTGTACGTGTTGTTCCCTTTCCTGCTTATTCCCGGCGTGAGTCTCGGAAATTAACACCGTGCAGCTACTGCAGACCCAACCGTGGACAATGTACCTCGAGCTCATTGTCGACGTCTACGACCTCAGGACCAAGCTCAGCACCGTTGGTCAAATTTCCAATGATCTCCATACCCAACATCTCCTCGAAGTTCTTGGTGTGATGGATCTTCCCTCCAGCGTCATCGGTCGAGTAAATCCCTCCATCGGCGTCTGGAAGCTCTTCCGTCGTCTTCAAGATGATCGCGACGAAGGCCGAGCAACCGGTGTAGAAGTCGTATCAGGCATTCCCCGCTCTCTCCTCGATATCTTTGCTAGTATCTTGGACAACGATCCGGAGTATACCGAGACGCGCTTTTGGGACTGGCCGGGACAGGTAGGTGAGTCGCTGCAGTGCCACTACTGGGAATGCTGGCGCCTGGCAGGTATACTGGAAATCCGCCGTCGGCGAAGAATGGAGCGAAAGGCGAGAGGGCTCCCTGACCGAGGGGACGGCACATCAAGGAAAGGCCCAGATACAGAGGTCGTTCTATGCCGTCTCATCTCATCAATAGATGCCCTGCAAAAGGCCTTCGAAGAACCTCGCAACCAGCACCTCCTCGTCCACAATGGGCTTCCGTATGCAGTCGTCAACGCAGGTCTAGAAGTCCCCCTCCTCAAACAACATCCAACCTGGAAAGCAACGCTCGACGATGTCAGGAAGTCGTTACTTGGCACGGATTCCTTTGATCTAATCAACACTATTTTCGAAATGCTCGACGAGGCGTGGGCGAACGGGACAAATAATTTTGACATTGAGAGCGCAGCACGCTCCAGGAACTTTGAACTTGCTATTTTCTAAAGGCGTTGGGGATCATCGGCGCATGATACGCTCAAACTTATGACTCTTCTGTACTATGGACTACTATTTATCGGCTGAAATAAACGACGCAACTCGCTGGATGAGAGACTTTGTATACTCCGTGCTAGGCGCCGAGTAGTCAACCGTGTAGAAAGACACAGACGCCTTGCCATTCTCAACAACGTATGTCTCACCAGGCAGAGAGCAATCACCATTAATGCAAGCGTTCACACCAGCGGCGTAAGGCTTGATGTTGGCCCAAGTAAACGTGCCCTTCTCTTTGTCAAGGACAGCTTCGTTGACGTGAGCGTTTCCGGTGAAACGGGTCTGCACGAAATCCGGGTTCTGGTACTTCTTGGTCAAGACGGGGAGATTGACGCTGACGCCGTAGCCAAGGGGGAGAAGAGGGCCATTTTTGGGGGAGGTGGCGATGAAGTTCTCGACGAATTTGACAGAGGCTTGAGCGGCCCATGTAGCAGGGTTGGTTTTGTTCTTGACTTCAAAGTAGGGGACCTCCTGGTTGCTTGCTGAGATCGCAATGGCAGGAATTCCACGGTTGGTAGCGGCATATCTATACGTCGTCAGTTCGGACATCTGTATGGGATGGTTATTGCTTACGCTGCGCCTGCGGTTCCAGACAAGGTCCACACGAAACCACCCAAGTTGGTTCCGTAGTTGGGTCCAGTAACAACAAGGTCAGGAACGCTAAAGTTGGCGAACTTGGGGAGGACATAGTCCAGAGCGACGAACGTGCAGGCGGCGGGCGTGCCGTTGTAGTACCAGATCTGGCTGTCCTTTGGATCGTGTCCAACCTACGTCATGTCAGAGGCCAATTCGAAGAGTGATGCTTGGGGAGCGTACTGAGGGTGCGCCCTTAGGAATCAAGTCATACTGCGATGGTGCAGTCAAGTTCCCTTCGGTAGTGAAGTCAGAGGTGCCGCCTTTGCCACTCTGCTTTGTCGCAGGAGCAACAACCCAAACTGCAGACATGTTAACATTGCTTTCCCATGTTACGAAAGCGTATCCTACCGTTGTGACCCTTCTCCTTGAAAATGCGATACATCTCGCGCAAGTTCCCAGAACCGAACCCATCGTCATTGCCCAGCAAAATGTTCAGTGCATTAGCGCCCGAAGAGAGCAGGGCTGCTCCAGCGATGAAGGAAGACAGACGCATTGTCACAAAGGTTCAGGGTATGCTGTTGATGTAGTAACGCCAAGTGCCAGAACGAGAGAAGACGTGCCCCAAAACAATCAATTGAGTGCTCACGACGATCTTTTATCTAGACAAAGTCAACGGAGAGCGGCCATGTCCGTTATCGCATTGCCAAGCCTTCAAAAGTTCCCCTGTCTATCATTATAGTATCTATCGCTCGCGTGCTCTCCTTCCAAAAGTGGACAAGGTGAGGAGACGATGAATCTGGGTGCAGATACTACACTATCATTTATTGTTGTATCTTGGCAGGGGATAAGATAATCAGCTAGCGTAGCTTATCTATCGCACGCGGGGTTGGGACCAACCATGTGATAGACAAGGCTACCCGGATATTACGGCGACAAAAGATCCTGGTTTCTCAGTAGAGGAACAATAATTGTCCGCCAAGGTTTGATATGCTTATTCGCTAGCTTGATTATGCCTACAAAAGACTAAAGATGGTTGCGCTAACACCAAGGAAGACAGCAGGCCCCAAACCTCCAACTCGCGACGCCAGGTTCTCATCTTCCTCTGGCTCTTCATCCTCCCCTTCCAGCTCCAACTGGGGCTTTCGACTACCCGGAACAGCCTGGTCTGGGGCAATACATATCAGCCTATTCGTACCAGCCGATGAAAACAGCAACGGAATGGTCTGCTGAACCCTCAAATCATACATGTCAAAATCTTTCCGGTCCTCATCGCCGATAAGCCCAGCCCACAAGCCACTGCCAAAAGTCATATAATCTTTCGGCAGATCAAGATATGGCATCTTATCTATCGAACAATGCGGCGGGTCGAAATGCCGCGGAGTGGCTGAGAAAATAGTCAGCGTGTGTAGTCACATATCCGAGATTGGTTCAGAAATACATTGACTGAACCAAAGGTACTCCCTGCATTCGTCGCTGAAGTCTAGAGAATGCAGACCCGGACATTTACGAGAAAGCCATGTAACATTATACGTTGCGTTCTCGAATTCCCTGATGCATTTCTCGCTAATGACGCCTTTGCACGAGTGCTCTGCGTACGTTATGTCTTCAGGAGCATCCACGTCCGGCGGGTTCTCAGAAGTCCTGTTTACGGCCTTCAACATGGACGAGCAGACCCGTGTATCTGTCCGTCCGGCGGAGTATCTCGAGCTTGTAATTGTTTTATGAACGCTTATAAAAACACTGAGCTCTTGACTGGTATCGACGTCTCCAAATACGAGATCTGGCCCACGTCTGTCGGTTATAGCGGCGGTTATGTACCATGGCCAATTTTGTCCTGGGAATCTGGTGCGTGCTGTGCGCGTTGAGTTGTAGATCAAGTAGCCCTCATCAAGGTCTCGGATCTCGGTAGGGCAGTCTTTGGGCAGCGAGGAGTTCTGCGCAAGACATATTCCTGTCAGGTATAGGAAAATAGCAACGAATATTCGAAACATCGTGTGGATTTTGATAATAATTATGAACTGGCAGCGATAAATCTGAGTATTGAGGAGCCCCTGTCAGAGGGGAATAGCAAGATACCTAGATATACCTTTCATGCTTTTTGGCCCCCATTTTACATGACTTCATTGCAGTTCTCGGCGTTTCCTGTTTAGCTGTGCCAAGAAGTCCTTTAAGCTTATTCGCTAGTCTGATTATGCTACAGCCTACAGCAGACTCAAGATCATAATGCCAACACTGAGGAAAACAGCCCCCAAACCTCCAACTCGCGACGCCGTGTTCTCATCATCTTTCCCTTCTTCTTCTTCTTCTTCCTCTTCCTCGGTTCCTTCTAGCTTCAGCTCGGGCTTTCGACTGCCCGGGACAATCTTGCTGGGAGTAGCACACACCAACTTCCTGTCACTGATGCCACCGCCTGATACCACCGTGAATATTGGAACGGTCTGCTGAACCATTGCATCATAAGAGTCAAAATCATCGTATTCGACACCACTTCCTAACCATGACGATATAGAACCGCCATACGTCCAATAGCCATCAGGAACATCGAGATGTGGTATCTTGCCGATTGTGCAATTCTCCGTGGATAGATTCCGCGTCAAGACTAATCCAAAGTTAATAATCCGTTGCATAGAGGACCTTTCAAATCACCTGTCTGCTTTAAAGTAAGATGCTTTTTGCATTCTTTGCTAAGCTTAAAAGCCTCGGAAATCGGACAATTCCTCCCAGCGCGTATCGGGAGAGTCGAAACCTCGAATTCCTTGATGCATACGTCGCTTATGACGCCTTTGCAGGACCCGTCTGCCTCGTCTGGATTCTCAGAGCTGCTGTTGAGTCCTTGGAACATGTATGAACAGATCCCGATGGTATCATTCTCGACTGATCCTACAAGGGGTCGGGGAACACTTATAAAATTCTTGATCCATTGCCTGGAGTGACCGCCATCAAACGTGCGTTTCGGGTCGCGTTCGTCGGTCACAGCAGTGCTGATGTACCATATATTTAGACTTTTCTGTGCCTTGAGCTTCAGGGGCAGGGTACCCGATGCGTTAAAGACGATGGCGCGCCTGTCGACAGCATCTGTAAATTCGCTAGGGCTGCAGTCTTCCGTTGATGAGGGGTTTTGGGCGAGGCATGTTCTCAAGAGGCATAGCCATATAAGGGCGAACGTTCTAAACATTCTGCACTGTTCACTGGCAATGCCAGACTGATAGTTAAAGTAAAGTCGTGCACTGTCGAGGGCGGGGATGACCTGATAAATATTCTTCAGATTCTGGCCCCCAACTATATGACTTCATGGCAGTCCTTGGCGTTTAGCTGTGCCAGGCGATCCTATAAACTTATTCGCCAGTCTGATTATGCTACAAAAGACCAAATATCATAACGCTAATACAAAGAAAAACAGCCCCCAAGCCTCTAGCTCGTGACGCCATATTCTCATCTTCTTGATCTCCTAACTTTGATTTGGGTGTCCGACTACCAGCAACCACCTGGTTAGGAGCAATGCACAGCAGCTTACTTTCACTGCTATCATTACCCTTTGCTACAGACATCAACACAGGAATAGTTTCCTGAACTCTTCTATCGTAACGGTCAAAATCCTCGCTATCCCCATCACCATCAAAGCCTGCCCAATTCCCAGTGCCAAAAGTCGTGTAATTAGCTGGAAGATTGAGATGCGGCATCTCATCGAGTGAACAGCGCGTCGCAGAAAAGTTCCGTGCCATAACTAAGAGGAAGAACACATTTAGTTAGTGATACAGCCGGACACCAGAGAAAGTCAATACCTACTATTGCCGACAAATACCTGATTCCCACATTCCGTGCTCAAGTTTGGTCTCAGTGAGATAAAGTCAGGGCATTCTTGGCCGAGCGCAGGGACAGATCGGGTTGCATTCTCATATTCCTCGATACATTTGTCGCTTATGACTCCCCTGCACGAGTATTCCGCATTATCCGCATTGTCGGTGGTTTTGTTGATACTTCCCATCATTTGCGAACAGACCCGGATGTCTCTTCCATCTCTACTTGCACCATATCCTCGTGGAACGCTAACGAAAACACTGAGCTCTTGACTCGAGTCGAGCCTAGAGCTACGCCCAGCTGGGAACTTGCCGTTAGGGGGGCGCACGTCTGTGACAGCGGCAGTTATATACCAGGGTCTCGATTGTCCTTTGAATTTGTAGGACAGTGTGCGTGTCGAGTTGTAGATCAGACGGTCCTCACTATCGCCGACGCGCCGAAGTTCCATTGGGCAATTACTGAGTGACTGTGCCAAACATGCTCCTGATAGGTAGAACAAGATAGCTGCCACAAATCTGTGTCTGTGCAGTTTTTCCATTCTTAGTATCAACGGAAAATTAGTAGCACCACGGAACTGAACTCGTTGATGCTTTTGGGAGGGATGCGGGAATGACTGAACTTATTGCTACGAGAGGGAAATGAATTACACGTTAAATGCTCTTCGCGTTTTGGCCCCCAACTACATGACTTCATCGCGATCCCCGGAGTTACCTGATGAAGAATCCTTCGCAATGCAAATCCCCTGCTCAGCGCGTCATGAAAGCGCCAAGGCGGCGCAAGCTGAGCCAAGACGTCCTAATTGGTGATCATCGCTTAAAGTCTCCGGTATTTTAAATGGACTGACATGTTGGTCGGGAGAATGACGTATTATTACATATCAGCTTTGACGAATGACTGTTTGTTCGCTACCTGTGACAAAAGTGTCACATTGGGGGCCATTCATGCCTTGGGTATGCGGTGTTGTTGAGCTGGGACTTGTTTTTGGCTTTGATATGTTGGTAGGCTAGAATCTCTGAGGTTGGTTGAACAGATCGAAGTCGGTGTATCTGCCTTCCTGCAGGAGCTCATTGGTCCTAGTTGTGAAATCTTCTGACTCAATATCCAACGTTTGTGGGATGATGGGTAAATCCCTTTTCATTAATCCAAGAGAATGTTCCAGCAAGAACCTGACCATCCATCCATCCAACTTGTGGCTTTCTGTCGACAAAAGGCAGAGCTTTTGAAAAGTCATCAACCTATTTATCTAGTACATGTCAGTATTATATATGAATCATCAGAACTTGGGTCCCACCATGGCTTCCGTGGCTGGCCAGTATTGTCGAAGTTCAATCAGCGCTTCAAAATTCGTATTCAATTCCTGTCGCGCTTTTGGGATATCTTCCGGCTCTCCTAACAAAAGCGTGTGTAATAGAACAGCCGATGCCACGGTAGTCATGTGTCCAACGGTTGGGTAGTTCTGCTGACATCCACTCATCTGTCGAGAGGTGTGTAACAAACTGCTGAAAGACGAAGCGTGGGATTTGCACAGCGCGACGTGATCTTCTTGTCCAATGTACGATTGCTCTTTTGTCTCAAGGGAGTTGAAGTAGACCAGTGCGGAGAGGTGATGAAATATCAGATGAAGCGCGATGAAATGTCCTCCTAAGTCGTTCTGTTGGTGGCTGTAGATATTCTGTATCGTCATCTGCATATTCTCCGGCAGATTGGCCTTCCATGATTCGAGCTTCTGACCGATGAGCTTGATGGCATCACATTTGACCTTCGGTTCCATGTCTCCCTTGGCCATAGAGCGGTTCAGGCCTTGAATGTGACCAAAGTATTGGATCAAGGTCACCATATGAGCAAAGATACCCGCAGTTCGACTAGAACTGTGGAGTGAGGACAAAGGGCTAAGGCGTTTGAAGGACGTTTCGTCGATAGGCAGAGGAGATGACTCAGGACAGTGAGGATTATCCAAGTGCCGGGGTATGCCAAGACCAGAGGAGCACCAACGATCGAGTATGTAAAGTGACCACCAACTTCTAAGGGCTGTCTCACTGGCGATACTTGGCTCATCCACCGAAAAGTTAAGCTGAAGAACCTCAGCCATACCAATCGCAATTCCTGCAAGGCATCAGTAAGACTCGAAGCTTATACAGCCATATCCGCAACAAGTAAACTCACGTAGAAACAATGTCTCTGAAGAAGTATGGCAGTTCCCAGCACTGAGAAGTGACAAAAGAATACAAGTTTGCACATGCTCAATACACACTTTCTCAAGATCTGCTTGTACAAGCCTCTTCGCCTCCTTCGTCAACGGACTCTCCAAGGCGCGATGCTCAGACTTGGGCGAGAACTTTGAGCCTAGAGCACATATAGCGTAGAGCAAGGCATCTCCAATCTCCTTACTGCGAACTTGTCTCCGAAGTGTTTCTTGGTGGAAAATACTATGGGCCCGGCCGTCAAGATGCGTCAGATAAGACTCCACACACTGAATAGCCAACTCATCGGTCAGCTCGGGCACAAATTCGTGGTTTTCTTTGGGTGCAGATGTAGTTTGTGAGCTAACGTGCGAGGAGCAGACTAGGTTCTTGCGCTGACAGGTGTTACACGGCGAATCGATCGTCTGCTTTACACACCGCCTCTTGGCCTCTCTACATTGAAGACAAGAGGTTGCTTTCATCGCTGAATTGGATTAATAATGTCTTTTCGTGGGATCAAATGGTCGAGACTGGGTAGTTGAGCGGATGATAGGGATTATTAATGATGAACCAATCGCAACTTTGTTTGGCCGAAAGTCTCCTGACAGGCTGCGGCCCCGCTTGCGGAGTGTTGAAGCTGTGATTCGTCACTGGATTTCGGAGTCGGAGACGCTTGAGCTGGGAATTTGAGAGCTGCTAAGTGTCAGGTACTTCGTCACTAATATTAGTAGGGTAAGTACTTATCGTCTAACAGCAGCGATATACAGTTTATATCATTTCTAGTCTTGAAAGACCATGCTGCAATTGTAAGATGAGACCAGAGAAGATATTTTGTAGTATTTAAAGTCTCCGTTTTCTCTCGTGGACTGATCTTGTACTTGGTTCAGCAGCATTCACTTCAATCATCCGAAGCATTACTTCAAATCTATATCAGCACATTCCACTCCATCATGGCAAACCTTCTCGGACCAATCACAGTAGGAGGCAAACTCCCCCTCAGGAACCGTATAGTCATGGGTTCAATGACTCGTAACCGTTGCATCGACAATAACAAACCTGGCCCGGCCCAAATCAAGCACTACGCCGATAGAGCCAAGTACGGCACTGGTCTCATCGTTACAGAGGGCACTTTCGTCGATTGGACTGGCTGCGACTGGAAACACGCCCCCTTCATGGTTACCCAGGAACATGCAGACGCTTGGCGAAGAGTGACTGATGCAGTTCACGAAGTTGGTGGGAAAATCTTCTTCCAGGCCTGGCATGCTGGGAGGTGTCAGCATGATCAGTTGCCTATCATGAAAGAGAAGGGTGCCAAGGTTCTGGCTCCTTCTGTTATTAAAGCTCATGGAGGGAAATATCGAGACTTGCCTGGAATGCCTGTAAGTTTCTCCTGAGGATGATGAACGAAGGCTGATTAAAAAGTAGGGACATACGGCCAATATCGAGGCCATTGCAGATGTCAAGTCTGTTGTCGACACTTACAGACGAAGCTGCGAGCTGGCTAAAGCAGCTGGATTTGACGGTGTTGAGCTCCTTGCTCAAGGGTAACAAATGACATTACCATTGGCACCTCTGGGCAATTTCTAACTGACATTTAAGCGGTTATCTGCCTCAACAATTTCTCAGCAGGTCAGTCATATCAATCTTGTCAATACCAGGTTAGGTGCTTATTGTGTAGCCGTGCGAATCAACGCACCGACGAATATGGTGGTTCAGTCGAGAACAGATGCCGCTTCACCCTCGAACTCGTCGATGCAATCGCCGCCGTCTTCAACGGACCAGAGTATATCTGTGTCAAGATTAACCCCACAGACCATCTCAACGATTCTATCGTGGACTTTGACGAGATGAAAGAGACTTATACGTACCTCATCACCGAGCTTGTCAAACGAAAGGTCGGGATTATTAACCTTGGCCGTCGTGGTGCCGAAACATCCCCCGGTTCAGGGGAATTCTTTGGGCCTCTCCCTCGGCCTGAAGGCTATCCTCTCCCCCGTGGCTATGATCCAGTTCTTGGCTTTGGGAACCTCGTTAAGTTTCCTGGTAGTCCGACTTTGCTTATGGCCAATCATGATTATACTGTTGAGGAGGCTGATGCTCTTGTTGGAGCAGGCAAACTCGATATGATTACGTTTGCGAGAGTCTTCATCTGGAATCCGGTGAGTAGTACAAAGTCAAAGTATTCCAAATCTAACTAGTTGGAAAGGATCTTGTTTCTCGTATCACTCACGGAATACCTCTTGCCGAGAATGATAGAGGCCCTTGGGTTTTTTATGGGCTGGGCAAGAGTCCAGACGAAGGCTACAATGATTGGCCAGTAGCCTCAACCACATAGACATCACGAGAGCAAGTAGAAGTGTTATTTGCCGCTGAGACTCATGGCTGAGAGCTTAAATCAGCCGAGAGAACTTAGTGACTAGAGCAAGCATAGACAGTCACTAGACTCTTCACACAATACCAGTTGGGGACAGATGTTTGAGAAATATGTGCATTGTTCCATTCAAATGAATGTGACTTGATAATATACGAGCAGATAACTATGTACAGATGAATGAGCGTCATGGATGAATCACCATGATAATCCCATTTGCAACGCAAAACTGGGTGTCCAGCATCCACGTCTGTGCAAACCCTAGGAGACAGAGAAACAGTGATGGCACTTTTTCTCAATCCGCTTACTTCTTGAGAGTGAGCAGACCAGGGCGGTAAGGAAGAGAGTTGTAGTCGCCACCAACGTTGGGGTTGCGGCCCTGGTAGAGGAGCTGGAGGTTGCAAGGGTCGACAGGGAAGGTTTGGTCGTTGCTGGTTCGGATCAGCTCTCCGTGGCTGATGTCGTTGGTCCAGGTAGCACCACTGTTGGCCTTGCCGGCGAAGGGGTTGGACTCGGTGCCGGCGTTGACGGTCCAGGTGCCGTCGAGGCTGTTGGCAGTGAAAGAGCGGAAGTATCGTCCGTTGTTGCCCATGGCCTCGACGATCATGAGGTACTTGTTCAGACCCTTGAGGGAGTAGACCTGTACGGCCTCGAAGAGGTTGGCCTTAGTGTCCTGCATGATGACTTGCGACGCGGAGCCGAAGCTACCGGGGAAGTTGCCAATGGGCATGCTGGCGCGGTAGATGCGGCCGTTGTCACCGGCGAAGAACAGGTACATGTTCTTGCTGTCACCAATGACGGTCTGGTCGATGGGACCAGTGTCCGAGTCGGAGATAGAGCCGGTGAAGAGAGGCTGAGCAGCAGACCAACCGTTGGGGTTGGTGGGGTTGCTGGAAG